GCTTGTTGGCAGTATAAAACAATGAATGAAGCTGGGAACAGAGGCTCACACCTGTAATTCTAGCATTCTGGGAGGCCGAGGTGGGAGGATTGCTTGAGGCCAAGGAGTTCAAGACTAGCCTGAGGAAGAGCAAGACCCCATCCCTCCAAAAAAATAGAAAAATTAGCAGGGTGTGGTGGCACGGGCTTGTAGGCCCAGCTACTCAGGAGGCTGAGGCAAGAGAATTGCTTGAGCCCAGGAATTATGATGATGCCATTGCCCTCAAGCCTGGGAAAGAGAGCAAGACCCTGTTTAAAACAAAACAAAACCCACACACCAAATCTGCCTCTTTTTAAGGTTTCTACAAACAGCTTCATATTTAAGTATTCTAATTACTTTCTTGGCAACTGTAAGCCTGGGGAAATTATGGCAATTTTCAGAATTCATTTGTGGTTATTATAAAGACTTCCTGAATATATGTATAAGAACAAAAACCCAATTGTTTTTATTCCAAAAAGTAAAAATTAATTTTCACTATAAAATAAAATCATGTTACTGAAACATAAAAAAAAAACCCCTCATAATTCCTACTCTCTTAACAATTGTTATCATCTTTATGTATTTTCTTCTAGTATATTTTTCTGTTTTTTTTTTGAGACAGAGTCTCATTCTGTTACCCAGGCTAGAGTGCCCTGGTGTCAGCCTAGCTCACAGCAACCTCAAATTCCTGGGCTCAAGTGATCCTCCTGCCTTAGCCTCCTAAGTAGCTGGGGCTATAGGCACATGCCACCACACCCAGCTAATATTTTATTTTTAGTAGAGATGGGATCTCACTCTTGCTCAGGCTGGTTCTGAACTCCTGATCTCAAGTGATCCTTCTGCCTCAGCCCCCCAGAGAGCTAGGATTACAGGTGTGAGCCACAGTACTTGGCCTTCCTAGTATATTTTTCTAAGAGTTTGTTTACAGAATTATAAGCATTTATATATGTAATAAGCCATTCAGTCAACACAGATTTATTGAGGGCCTACTATGTGCCAAGCACTATGCTTGACTACTGAGGATACAGTGGTATACAGGTTATACAGGTCCCTGCTCTCAGAGCTTGTACACCAAGTATCTCTCTCTCTTCACATGGCTATTAAACACGCAGACCCTAACATTCCATACTATTGCCAACTCTATAAAATTTCAGAAAATAAACATTTTCTCATATCCTCAATTTACAGAAAATTTTACCTTTATTGCAAAAATGAGTATAATAGGAAAGTCACATACCCTGAAGATATCTGACCTCTGCATTAATGCCATCAGGGAGAGGTATCCTCCATAGGACCAGCCATGGATGCCCACACGATCTAAGTCAATGAAATCATACCGAGAAGCTAGATACTGGAGTCCTTCCACCTGATCATCGATTTCTATTTGACCCTGTCAAAAAAAAAGGGAGAACATTTCACTGATTCTGATGAATAAAAGTCTCATTACAAGAGAGCCTTTTAAAGTTGATAAATGTTTTTTACTAAAAATTCCTAAGTTTTCTTAGATTAGAATTCCCTATCAACTGAGATTCTACTGCCCCCAAAAAGTTTTTTAAAAATCTATTTAGAGACAGGGCTCTATAGCTTCTGTTGCTAGCTTGTCCTAGAGTTTAGTTACCCTTTAGTCATAAAGTTCTTTCCTACTGCTACCCAAACTGTCCCTTGCTATTTGGGTATTTCCCATTTCCATTTGTTCTGTTGTCTGCTAAGAGGTCAGCATCTTCCTTGTAACAAGCCTTCCTATACTCAAAGACAAAAAATTAGCCCCCTTAAGTGATTTATTAATTTTACTTCTCCTTTTCAATATTTAATGCAGTAAAGCAGAGGGAATGGTTCTGGAGGCCCTATCTTCCTATTTCCTCATCATACTCTCTAGGAACTGAACATACTATTTCTTTAAAGACCTGATTCCTACCACCACCACCTTGTCTATATTACTTGGCCTGCCAGTGCACACAATCTCAACTGAGCCTAAAATAAAAATAAAAACAAAAAAACTTACATGAAATACAACATAAGGTCAAAGAACTGGCTGTGGGAGAAAATCCCCATGTCTTACTCAGCATGTCCAATACACTGGCAAACACAGTAACTGCCTTACTGTGCAAAAGGAACATCGGATTCTCATCATTTCCCAAAGCAGCAGAAAGGACATGGGGCATCTCTAAAAGGTAGCATTTAAAGCTTCCTGTAGAGAGAAAGAGGCTTGTCACAAGGAAGGCACTAACCAGTTGGATTCCCTCTTTACAGAGGACAGAACAAATCTCAATTATTCCTCAATAGTGTGCAGGATGCTGAAAGCTACACGGTCTGCCTTCTGGCTAAGGTGGACATACAAAATAGAAAGAGAGGGTATTTCTATGTAAAAGTGGCTCTATCTCAGCTCCCCAAAGTTACATACAAGTAGACATGAGCTAGTTTAGTGTATATCAAGTTTCATCTTCACCTCCACCCCCAAACTGTAACACACACACAGACACTCACACACACACACTCTCTCTCTCTCTCTCTCTCTCATAGCCCCTTCCCCTAACCCTCTCTCTGGGGATTCACACCAAACAATGCACCAAAAAATGTAAATGTCTTTAAAAGAAAATTGTTTTTATGTTCACACACCATTTTATATTTAAAGGCGCCTTCAAATTTAAGCCCTCGGTGACAGGATCCCCTGTTGTCTATCACCACAACCACATAACCCAGAGAGGCTAGGGTATTCAAGCGAAAATACTTGACTCCTTTAAACCGATTATTCACCAACTGTACCTGAAGAAGAAATACAACTTCAGTGAAATTTTAATATGGTAGCATACAAAAGCACAAGAGAGGAAGGGCATTGTTAAAATTAGAAAGCTTAGGCCAGATGAAGTGGATCATGCTTATAATCCCAGCACTTTGGGAGGCTGAGGTAAGAGGATCACTTAAGGCCAGGAATTTAAGACCAGCATTGGAAACCTAGTGAGACCTCATCTCTACAAAAAAATAAAATTAGCTGGGCTTGTTGGTGCCTGCCTGTAGTTCTAGCTACTTGGGAGGCTGAGGTGGGAGAATCTCTTGAGCCCAGGAGGGTGAGGCTGCAGTGAGCTACAATCCTGCTTACTGCATTCCAGCTTGGGTGACAGAGAGCCATCTCTCAAAAAGAAAAAAAAAAAGGAGAGACTGAAAAAAAAATACAGGAGCTAGAATACCATAAACAATACCATTTAAAGAAAACCACAGGCTGGGTGTGGTATTGTGTCCTGTACTCTTAGCTACTTGGGAGGCTGAGGTGGGAGGATCACTTGAACCCAGGAGTTGGAGGTTACAGTGAGCTACAATCAGGCCACTGCACTCTAGGCTTGGTGGCAGAGTGAGACCTCACTAAAAAAAAAAAACTTGGTCTTACATTAAAGAGTCTCTCTTTTTTTTTTTTTTTTTTTTGAGACAGAGTCTCGCTTGTTGCCCAGGCAGAGTGAGTGCCGTGGCATCAGCCTAAGCTCATAGCACCTCAATCTCCTGGGCTCAGGCAACTCCTGCCTCAGTCTCTCCGAGTACTAGGACTACAGGCATGCGCCACCATGCCGGCTAATTTTTTCTATATAATTATTAGTTGGCAACTGGTAATTGTGTTGGCCTATTTATAGTAGAGACAGGGTCTCGCTCAGGCTCAGGCTGGTTCAAACTCCTGACCTCGAGCATCCGCTGCCTCGCCGTCCAGAGTGCTAGATTCAGGCCGTCGAGCCACCGTGCCCGGCCTAAGAGTCTCTTTATATTTAACCCAAATTGAGTCATCCACCAAGAGGATGAATGATCTTCCAATGGGTTGAAGTGCCAGAGGCACTATATATCATGTGAGGTTGTACAGGGAAATCTCCCTGCAAATTAAACACCAGATTCTTCTATGGCCTCACCAAATTTGAATGTTTTCAAAGAATACTTTGAGAAAGAAAGAAAACAAATCATCTTAGGTGACCTACAGCTTTTCAAAAGCCACATGGTGGAATATACTTATAGCCTTTCAAATATGATTGTTTCTGTAAGTGCAAAAATGTATAGCTATAATTCATAAGGTACTCCAAACAATTTTGTTTTAATTGGATTGGCTAAGACTTTTTAAATATGGTATAACATACATAACATAAAATTTACCATTTCAATCACTTTCAGTGTACAGTTCAGTGGCATTAAACATATTCACACTGTTTTGTAACCATCACTATTATCCATTTCCAGAATTTCATTATCCCAAACAGAAACTCTGTACCCATTGAATAACACCTCATCCTCCCTCCCTCCAGTTATGGTGATACTGTTTTCCATAGCAGCGGCACTGTTTTACGTTTCCATCAGCAATGGACCAAGGTTCCAATTTCTCCACATCCAGTACAACACTTATGATTTTCCTCTTTTTGATAACAGCCATGCTAATGGGTGTGAACTGGTATCTTATTGTGGTTTTAATTTGCATTCCCTAATGAATAGTGATATTGAGTATGTTTTCATGTGACTAAGCCCTTTTAAATTTAATTACTAATATAAGGAGTCCTTTAAGTCTTTTTTTTTTTTGAGACAGAATCTCACTCTGTTGCCCTGACTAGAGTGCTGTGGTGTCAGCTTAGCTCACAGCAACCTCAAACTCCTGGGCTCCAGTGATCCTTCTGCCTCAGCCTCCTGAGTAGCTGAGATTACAGGCATGTGCCACCATGCCTGGCTAATTTTTTCTATTTTTGGTAGAGATGGGGTCTCACTCTTACTCAGGCTGGTCTTGAACTCCTGAGCTCAAACAATCCACCTGCCTTGGTCTCCCAGAGCGCCAGGATTACAAGCGTGAGCTACCACGCCTGGCCAGGAGTCCTTTAAGTCTTAAAATGTAGTTTTTATGGTGTTTTTGACCTATCTCATATATTGTATCATTTCTTCACTGGGAAGGAGAAACACCCTTTTTATTTAGCCTTACTATCAAAAGCATATAACAAACATGTAAAACTTCTGAGAGTGTCCTGTAATTTCTCTCTTGCTTTGTGTTAAGCCATTTTTTCTTATGTTACAAAGATTTGGCTTCAAGTTTTAAGTAGAAATCTAATTTAACTCTTTCATGATTTGTGTAGATGACTATAATACAAATGTGAATTGTTGTTTGTAAATCAAAATTTTGGCAAAGTGATTTAACTTAATACATGACCATCATCCCTTAGATTTTATGGTTTATGTAGTCATTTTCTTTTATTTTTTTGTATGACTTGGTATCTAGATATATTTCCAGACACTAAATAACTGAGTATAATTGTAAAGGATATTACTGAGTCTAAGAGTTGCATTATGAAAACGCTGTAATTATATTTTAATTTCTTCAAAGGCTGAATGTAAGATATCTAATCAAGAATAAATAATTTAAAAAATTACCAATTAACCAATTCACCTATCCAAAATACTTTATTCAGACAGACAATACCATTTACTTAACAGTCAGTCACCTGTTAATATTAACCCAGAAAGAGAAAAATCAAGGTGTAAACTTTTTTTTTTTTTGAGACAGAGTCTCACTTTGTTGCTCAGGCTAGAGTGAGTGCCGTGGCATCAGCCTAGCTCACAGCAACATCAAACTCCTAGATTCAAGCGATCCTCCTGCCTCAGCCTCCCAAGTAGCTGGGACTACAGGCATGTGCCACCATGCCTGGCTAATTTTTTCTATATATATTAGTTGGCCAATTAATTTCTTTGTGTTTATAGTAGAGACGGGGTCTCGCTCTTGCTCAGGCTGGTTTCGAACTCCTGACCTTGAGCAATCCGCCCGCCCCGGCCTCCCAGAGTGCTAGGATTACAGGCGTGAGCTACCACGCCTGGCCGTGTCCAGCTAATTTCTTTCAATTTTTTTGTTAGTAGAGACGGGGTCTCGCTCTTGCTCAGGCTGGTTTCGAACTCCTGACCTTGAGCAATCCGCCCGCCTCGGCCTCCCAGAGTGCTAGAATTACAGGCGTGAGCCACCGTGCCTGGCCCCAAACAACTTTCTTTACATAGAAAGCAATATATTTATCTACTTCTATGATTATTCCACTCCCAAGAGTTATATTCTTTATCGTAAATTAAGAAATTGACTTACAGATTTATAAATTATCCATCTAACAAAACCTAGCTTCCTAAACTTCTAAACTTGATAATTAGAACATAAGCCAGAGTCATTAACAGCTGAGGCCCAACAATGCTCACAATCTTAATCTAAACAACTGACTAGATACTTAAAAAACAAATCACAAATTATATATATGTACGTATATACATATAGGTACATATGTATATAAATATATGCCCACCTGAGGACCACCATATATGAACAGTACAGTGGGGTATTTCTTTCCAGGCTGTAGATCATGAGGCTTGTACAGCATCCCATACAACGTAAATCCAGTAGTACTTTCAAAAGAGAAAATTTCTGGAGGGGTATAGTCAGGAAGAGGACCTGTGAGTAGGTAACATACAGAGTCTATAAAAGGAGTTCGTATGGGAGCTCTGTAATCCGAGAGCAAGGAAGAAGACATTGAAACCCACAAATAACTGATTAGCCCTCTTTCAGATGATAAACTAGAAATCACGCAAGAATATCCATCTTTAAAAAAGCCTAACAAACATATCAAATATCTATTTCAGAAGCAGACACACAGTATTCTGAATAATCTTTGGAGCCTAGGAGGTATCTATGTGCAGAACTATGCAAATACTTCATGTTTAGTTCAGTGTAACTTATTGATGGTTAAACCATAAACCTGATTAGAAACAGGCATATACTTCATTAAAGCTGAAAGGGAAAAAAAGAAACAGGAAGCACATATTTAACTTAGTCGATTTAACTTGCAGGTGTTCAATAACATTTGTTTCTGATCATTAGAGAATATGCCTGACCAGAACTAGAAAAAAGAAAGTTGTCATCAGTCTTCAGTTCACCAAACCCTATATAATCTCTCCTAAGTGTCTGTGTATAGCAGATAATGTTACTGTTTAAGTAGAGATCATCATCATATTATAAATTCTGCTTTTAGACATTAAAATTACCTATACCCTTTGGTTCTGCACTAATTTCTCAATCCCTTGGCAGATATTACTAATGAAAGAAAATATTTAACAGGAAAAAAGATTTGGGGATAAAGTAGATTAGGAGATACATAAAATTAGTCCATTCTTTATATTTAAGAGACCAAGCATTTATTTTATTTATTTTTTGAGACAGAGTCTCACTCTACTGCCCAGGCTAGAGTGCCGTGGCATCAGTCTAGCTCACAGCAACCTCAAACTCCTGGGCTCAAGTGATCCTTCTGCATCAGCCTTCCGAGTAGCTGACGCAGCATGCCGCTTCCATCCGCCCAGCTATTTTTTCCCCTATATATTTTTAAGTTGTCAGCCTTAATTTCTTTTTCTTTCTTTTTTTTTGAGACCCAGAGTCTCCCGCTTGTTCGCCATAGGTAGAGTGAGTGCCATGGCGTCAGCCTACGGCTCACCAGGCAACCTCAGATCTGCCTGGCTCAAGCAATCCTTCTGGCCTCAAGCCTCCCAAGCGTACTGGGGCGGGCGGCGGACTACAGGCCATGCACCACCATGGCCTGGCACACTCTTACACAATGCATATAAGGCTATCACTTATTGGCCCAATTAATTTCTTTTCCCTATTGTATACGTAGAAGACCGGGTCTTGCTCTTGCTAGGGCTGGTTTCGACTCTGACCTGAGGCAATCTGCCGCCTCAGGCCTCCAGAGAGCTAGGATAGCCAGGCCCGTGAGCCACCCAACGGCCCGGCCCGTGTCCGAGGCTAATTTCTTTCAATTTTTTTTGTTAGTAACGAGGGCCCTTGGCCTCTTGTTCAGGCTGGTTTCAAATTTCTGACCTTGAGGCGATCTCCCCACCTCAGAACTCCCAGCACAGCTAGGATTACAGTAGTGAGCCATCCCCCAAAATGCCCCCTGCAAGCCTTTAAAAATAACGATAATACTCTGGCTTGGGCTTGCAAAACAAAACAAAAAACCCCAAAACAAATTCATAGTGCTCCTTTCACTCCCATAAACAGCATGTCTTCTTTTAGTAAGAAGTCACTGCAAGTGCTTCAAAAGTTTAAGAAAGCTATCAGCCAGTTACTCTTTAAAGCAGCAGCTTCCCTACTCAAAGGGTCTTACTAGCTCAGAATACATTATCTTCAAGTTCATTTGTTATCTGAGAACTCGTCCAAAGGTGTGAATAAATCATTTCCTCGCTGATATCGTGACTATTTTAATCTTATTTTCAAAAAGGCCTTCCAGACCCGCTGCTGTTTGGAGTGAGGGGTAACCCATCTTATTTAGTAGCTGACAGAACGGAAGAGGTGAGATCAATCAGGAGCACAGTAGCTCAGGGATAGGCAGTGGCAAGATGGCAAGATTCTGTCCAGGAAATGTAGACATATGACACAGGTTTAGTGCACTAATGTACTAATCCTACTTAAAAACAGGTTCAGGGGAAAAAAAAGAGTACCTGCTGAATCCAAAATGGTGGCCCAGAATTCCTTTGTTTTGCTAGTTGGGTCATCTTCAGGACTTGATAGCTTGTAAAGGGACACACAGTGTGGATTCTTCTGGTTACTATACTTACTTATAAAGAAGTCACAATGCTAGGGAAAGGAGAAAAAATTATAGTTTCCTCAGGGGAAAGTAAAAAAGGTTCCCTGCTATTATATCTGCTATAATAAGAGTATAATAATAAGAGTTTGACTATTTAGGTACATATACAATGCAGAAGTTAAGGCTAAGCTTTTTAAAGCTTTTCCTAAGAGAATTAGGCTTCTGAAGGTCAATTTCACCAAATTTTACATCTTCCAAAAAGCCTATTACATGAGCACAGTATTTATATAAATCCTTTTCAGACATGGGACTTAATACCTGGCTGATGCAGCAAGAATGGGAATAGCCACGGTCAGTCAGCCTTGTCACCTCTCCAGGATTTACATAACTGGCCACGTACAAGTGATGTTCTAAAGGGGAGTCTTTGGTACCTTCAAAATATACCAGCCTTCTGACTTCATCAACCTGGATCTGCCAAAGTAACAAAAAAATTCAAAACTAGCATGCACTTGGCAAGGCCAGTAATTCAACAAACAACCCGCAATTCTGTTCAGAATAATTTGAGTCACTCTTTGACATGTGCCTTCATTTTAAAAATTTTGCTATCAATGTTAATAAACCTGAGTTGTTTTTGCTTATGACTTATAGCCAAGAATAGGTCATATCCAGAGGAAAAAGGACACCTGAGTTGCACACTGTTTCTATAGTTTTCTTTCTGGCCAGAATGCATGTTTTTCTTAAAATATAAGAATTATTTCTCTAAAATAACTCCTTACAGGGAACGAAAAAAATTCTACATTGCAGCTTAGGTCTACCATTCATACATACTTGAAAGAATCTAATTTTAGTATCCTGTTTATTTCTCAGTGCAGTGTTATCTTAGGCAGTATTTTTTGGTCTTTTGTATAAATTTGCAAAGTGTTTTATCTATTGGGTTGCGGAATAATGGGATTCAATCACGGTTTGAATACTGACATAATTTGTTGTTTTTTTTTTTTAAGACAGAGTCTCACTCTGTCACCTGGGCTAGAGTGCAGTGGCGTCATCATAGCTCACTGCATCCTCAAACTCCTGAACTCAAGGGATCCTCTTGCCTCAGCCTCTTGAATAGCTGGGACTATAGGTGTGTGCCACCATGCTGGGCTAATTTTTTCTATTTTTAGTAGAGCTTCAGTTTTGCTGTTGCTCAGGCTGGTCTTGAACTCCTGAGCTCAAGCAATCCTCCCACCCCAGCCTCCCAGAATGCTAGGATTACAGGTGTGAGCCACAGTGCACCCAGCTTGGCATAGTTTATAGTTAAGTATGGGTAAGATTTTTAAGCCTTCTTTCTGAACTCATAAAAACCTGCAAGTAAACTCATTGCTGAATTCACTTAATATTCTTCTCAATTTATAGGAAGATTCTGAATAAATGGCTTTTATTGTTCCTTTAAAAAATCTTCTACCAGCCTACTCAAACAGTATTTAAGAAAATTCAGATTTTTTACACAGCAAAGAAAAAACAGATACATTTCTAAAACCAAATATTTTTATTTTTATTTTTATTTATTTTTTTTTTTACCCCCCCTCCCTAAATATTTTTAAATGTCTCATCTTTCTCCAGGAAGCTGCTTCTTTATCATTAAATATTTTTTAGTATGCATAAATATAGAAATAAACACAGTTGGCCCACGTAACATATACAGAAAAGATACAAATGACAGGAAACAATGTTCAGGAAGCTTCACAGGTGTGTGACAATCTCTGACAAAGGTTAGGACTAGTTCTGCTCTTGACCTAGAAGCTGAGAGTCTGGCCTTTCGAAACTAAAGAAATAACCAGTTATTTCCTCACCCCTCCCTCCCACCTATCATGGTTCTTTTCTTTGTTTCATGTAACTTCTTATAGTCAACGGATGTATCAGAAGCCCCTGGGGGGGTTGTTACACAGACTGCTGGGCCCCACCACCAGAGTTTCTGATTCATGAGGTCTGGGGTGGGCCCAAGAATGTGCATTTCTAACAAGTTCTCAGGTGACATTGATGTTTTGCTGCTGGTCCCCCACTTTGAGAACCACTCTCAACAAAAAGCACATGGGCTTAAAAAGTCTCAAAGGTTTACCCAATCACTGCCATTAGAAATCTTTGAGTAGATCTAAAGCTGTGTCATTTTAGATAAAAAGCTAAAAAAAAAAAAAAAAAAAAAGAAAAAGAAAGAAAGAAATCTTTCAGGTGAGAACAAGGTCACTTATAAAAACAGCGAAGGAAAAAAGTTAAGTTAAAACACACACACATATACACGCACAAAAACACAAAAACGGCTGGGCATGGTGGCTCACGCCTGTAATCCTAGCACTTTGGGAGGCTGAGGCGGGAGGATCGTTTGAGCTCAGGAGTTCAAGACCAGCCTTGAGCAAGAGCAAGACCCCGTCTCTACCAAAAATAGAAAAAATTAGCTGGGCATGGTGGCACATGCCTATAGTCCCAGCTACTTGGGAAGCTGAGGCAGAAGGATCGCTTGAGCCCAGGAGTTTGAGATTGCTGTGAGCTAGGCTGACGCCATGGCACTCTAGCTGGGGGAATAGAGTAAGACTCTGTCTCAAAAAAACAAAACAAAACAAAACACACACAAAAAAACAAACAAAAAAAACCCCCACCCAAGATAAGAATAAAAGGAAAACAGAAAGAGGTAAAAAACAGATAAATATATCACAGAAACAAATATGACATAAAGAAAGAAAATTGACACCCATTAGTGGCAAGTAGCACAAAGACATTTAGGTTGCCCAAATAAGGATCAGATCTATGTAAATATAATGTTTGGGGTTCCCTAGGTATTATCTAGTGACTCTTACAGTCCACCTACCACACAGCATGAAATTTACATTAATGTAATTTTCTATTGTCAGAACTTAAGATTTCCACAGTAAGTTTTCTCAAGTGACAGTAACATCCAAGGTCCTTAAACAGAAAAAAATATCTGGATATGTAACCAGAAGGCCATGTGAGGATCTTAGTGGAAATTAAACTTTGAAGGTCACCTGTGATATTCTAAAAGTTTTTACCAAAAACTTTGGGACCTGGATCTTCATTCTTTCTCCTTAATCACATTAGGCATTACAAGTGATTTCTACAGTAGCCAGTATATATAATCCTTCCATAGATTTCCATATCAATTTGAGGAAATGATATTTTAGCCTTCACTAAATCCTGGTAGCGTCCATAGACTTAACCACATGTGTCACACATGGAAACGATGGAGTTCTTAGGATGTCATGAAACTGACCACTTAACTGAAAGCTGAAACAAATGCAAGGTACTACAAAAGGCAAAAGAAAGAAAAGAATTCACTGAATTGCTTCTGAGAGTTAAATAAAGGGTGGATTTCCTTCCTCTTCCCTATCAATCTAAGCTCTGTAAAAATGCCCATCACTCTTTGCAGTAGTGAACTAAAGTTTAAGTTTGTGAGATAAGATAAACAGGTGAATGAAAGAGAATTACTACCTCAGTGAGTAGTAAATGCAATTTCTAATGTAGATACAACACAAGCAGTCTACAATGGATTTTAAAATAATTTTCAAAGTATATTCTAACTGGCAACTTTTGCTAGACGCTAAAAAAGTACAGGCCAGCTCCTTTCTTATTAAGTAGCAACAATATATCTGAAAACAGTGAACTTCAGTAACCAGAACACATCTAACACCAGGGCTATAAAAAGGATGAAGAAATTTTAATTTAAACTAAGATTTTACCTTTCCAACAACTTGAGTTCTTTTAGGCCCTAACTTAATATTTCAAAATACTGGGGTCATATTAGGTTGCCTAACTGACTTCAGTACAGCATTCAGACAGCATATGTCAACCAAACATAACAGAAGAATAAAAGGACATACATTAGATCCATGCCGGCCAAGAACTTCCCATTCACCGCTTGTAATTGCTATTTCCTCTTTGATAGGACACTTGAAATCACCTGAAGATAAATATAGTTATAATTCAGTACTTTATATCATACAGACTATAAGCAAATGAAGCAATGAAGTATAGTATTCTAACTCTTCTCTCCAAGGAGCTGCATTAAAAAATTAAAGTTATGTTTGGGGAAATAAAAATGTTTTGGAATTAGAGGTGATGGTTGCAAAGCACTGTGAATGTAGTAAATATCAATGAATTATTCATTTTAAAATGGTTAATTTAATGCTATGTGAATTTCACTTCAATAGAAAAAGTCTACAGTTAAAAAAAATCCAAGTTATGAGTCTTCACACTACTCTGGCATAATGATGGAATGATCCATGCAGATAATGTGAAAACATCAAAATAGATTTTATGGCCAAGCCAGAAAAGAACTCAAAAGCACCTGCATTCTTGAACCTTTCGTTAGACAAAGAAGTCTCATAGGTTGACAAGGCATTTCTTCTAAAAATGCAACAAACTACTTTACCAGCCGCATAAGAAAAGTTTTAATACAATTGTTCTTCATTTGCCAAAAAATAAACCAGGTAAGGATTATCATTAGAAATGCTAAAATGTCCCATCTGTCTTTAGAGATTCTGTGTTGATGAGGCTCTCCCAGTGGACTGAGAAGGTAAAAAAAAATTGAAAAATCAGGCGAGCACATGTTGCCCTATGCCTGTAACCCCCAGCACTTAGGACGCCTGAGGAGGTGGCATCCCTTGAAGCCTTAAGAGTTTCGAGGTTGCAGTTGCTGGTGATTATCCACATGCACTCCCAGCCCTGGCGATAGTGAGAGCCTGCTCTAAACAAAATAAAAAAAAAAAACCCCATGAAATCATTTCTCTTTCTATGCTGCTTTCTAAACTATTTGGCTTGTTGAGGAGTGACAGCGGAAGACAGGCCTAGATGGTGAGGACAGTAATAGAGATCTCTCACAAGAGTACCCCACAAAGTTGTTTGTTAAAAAAAAAAAAAGACAAAAAAAACAAAAAATCAAATATTTTTCTTAGTGCTAAAATTCAACCGTATGCTTAAACCTTTAGGAAGAAATTAAAAGATTACTTAACGATGTTCTTACAGGTACAGCATAACATATACACTATAGCCATTTAAAGAAGAAAACAGGAGAAAGGAGAAAAACAAAGTAGACATGAAGGGAAAGGAAGAAGACTTGAAGCAAGAAAAAGATAGCTAGTATCAAAAAACCAGAAAAGAACAAGTATTGTTGAGGATGTGGAGAAATTAAAACCCTTGTGCACTGCTGGTGGGAAGGTAAAACGGCATAGCCACTGTTGGTATGCCACTGGTATAGCTGCTATGGAAAACAATATGGCAGCCCCTCAAAACATTAAAAATAGAACTACCATATGACCTAGAAATTCCGCTTCTGATACTCAAAAGAAGTGAAAGCAAGGACAGGAACAGGTATTCATACACCCATGTCCACAGCAGCATTATTTACAACAGCTAAAAAGTAGAAGCAATCCTACCTACAATGAAATATTATTCAACCTTAAAAAGGAAGGAAATTCTCATACACGCTACAAAATGGATAAACCTCTAGGACATTATTGCTAAGTAAAATAAGCCAGTCACAAAAGGACAAACACTATATGTCTACTTAAATGAGGTACCCAGAGTAGTTACATTTGGAAAGACAGAAAGTGGTTGCCACAGGTTGAAGGGAGGGGGTAATTGGGAATTATTGTTTAATAGGTAGTTTCAGTTTTGGAACATCAAAAGAGTTCTGGAGGTGGATGGTGGTGACGGTTGCACAATATGAATGTACTTAATGCCACTAAACTGTACCCTTAAAAATGGTAAAAATGGTAAATCTTGTTTATGTACATTTTATGATTTTTAAAAAAGGCCATGCTGAGTCTCTTAAGTTTACAAATGGCAGTTAGGCATATAACATAATTTATCATAAAATGCCTACCCCCATCTCAAACAACTTGTATCCCCTTAATGTATATATATAATAATTTTAATGGTGGAGATCAGAGTCTCACCTCTGTTGCCTCGGGCTTACCGACCTGCCCACCCTACCGCCCCAGCGCTAGCTCACATAGCAACTCACTCTCCTGGCTCAAAGCATCCTACGCCTCAGCCTCCCGAGTACGTGGGACTATAGACACATGCCACCCGTGCTGGCTAATGTTGTTGTGTCGTGAGTAATAGTTTTAGTTATTCTCAACAATTTCTTCTACTTTTTTTATGTATAGACAGGTTCTCGAGAAGTCCTTGCCTCAGCATGGCCTGAACTCTTTTTGTTTTTTTTTTTGAGACCAGAGTCCCTTTGTTGCCCCCAGGCTAAGTAGTGCCGTGGGTCAGCCTAGCCTACACAACCTCAAACTCCCTGCGGTTCAACGCCAATCCTGCTGCCTCAGCCTCCAACTAGCGGGACTCACCAGGCATGTGCCACCCCATGCCCGGCTAACCTTTTCTCTCTCTATACCCCGTTATTTGGCCAATAATCCCCCTCTTCTAATTTATGGCCGCTCAGCACCGGGGCTCGCTCTTCCTCAGGCTGGTTTTCGAACTACCGACCTCGAGCAAATCCGCCCAGCTCCGCCTCCAATTAGAGTGCTAGGATTACAGGCATGAGCCCGCGCCCTAGGCCTGGTCTTGAACTTTCCTGAGTGCGAACGATCATCTACCCCGCGCCTCAGCCTCCCAGAGCAGGATTACATGTGTGACCACCAATGCCCAGCATAAAACAAAGTGTATTCTTAAAGTTGAAAACTGTAACTCAGTTTTAGAAAAACCCAGAAAAAGTACTCTAGGTACCATTTCACTTTTTCTAGCCTTTATGCATCCATTTGTATAAAATATTTCCCAGATAAGTTATATAACTTACCACTTTTTAAAGAGAAATTAAGTACAGCTGTTATAATATTTAATTTTACTTTGGGCAACATAATTATATCAATCTGTATAATTTCAGTGTAGACGTAGATAGTATAGGAAACATCTTTTAACTATCTAATAAAAAAAGAAACATCTAATGTATAAAAATATTCTATATTAAGTATGTAACATTTTAAAAATATGTTGTTTTGGCTGCGTGGTGGCTCATGCCTGTAATCTACACTCTGGGAGCAGCAGGCGGATTGCTCAAGTCCAGAGTTTGAAACCATGCCTGAGCATTAGAGCAAGACCCGTCTCCTACCTATAGATTAGAAGAAATTTAATTGGCCAACTAAGATACTATTAGAAAAAACAGCCTGGCATTGAAATTGGTTCCCATGCCCTTTGTAGTCCAGCTACTGTCCAGAGGCTGAGGTCAGAAGGATTTTGCTTGAGCCCTTAGAGTTTTTGAGGTGCTTGTAGCTTATTGCTGTATGCCAGGCACAGCTCTAGCCCTGGGCAATCAAAGGGAGGACTGAGTACCTCAAAAAAAAAAGATATATATTTTGATTTTTATTTTTTAGACAACAACTCAGTCACCTTAACAGTCAAAAGGAAGTGAAGAAAATATCTCAATATCTATTAAACCAGATGAAGAAAGATACTAGACATTCTGAGAAAAAAATATTTTAAGGTTGAATAATATTTTCATTGTATGTAATATCATTTTAAGTGCTAGTGGCCTGACATTATTCTATTTACTTCAAGCTCCTGCGCTCAAGTGATCCTCTTACCTCAGCCTCCCAAGTGTCTGGGACTGCAGGCACATGCCACCATGCCTGGCTAATTTTAAAATTTTTTGTATAGGTCCGGCGAGTGCTAAACGCTGTAATTTTCTACACTCTGGGATCCCGAGGCGGGCGGATGCCAATGTCAGGAGTTTCTAAAACCACCTCTATCGAGACCTTAACCATCTCATACCATAATGGGAAATAAAAAATAGAAAGAAATTATGCCAACGAAGTAGTGATAGTGGAGGGTATATGGGAGGGAGAGAAGTCAGCCGGTCATGGGGGTGGCTCGTGCCTGTAGGTGGGCCCATCTACTCGGAGGTCTGGGCATGGAGGACGCTTTTGACCCAGGATTTTAGTTGCTGTGAACTAGGGCTGAACACGCACTCACTCTACCTACGCAGTACAAAGGGAGACTCGTCTCCAAAAACAAAAAAAAATTTTTTGTAGAGTTCAGGTCCTCATTATGTGCCCAGGCTGTCCCTTCTCAAACGCATGGCCTAAGTAATCCTTCCTGCCTTGCTTTCCCAATAGTCAGAATATAGGGTATTTAGACCACAATGCTCTAGCTTTTAAAAACATGTTTTTTAAAATATATTCCATAAAATTTGAGGCTCACTTACAAAACAAATTAAAAAATGCAGTGAAGGTAAAAGTAGAAAGTACAAGAAGGTTATCCCTTTCACTACCCAGAGAAATACTCATTAACCCTGGTTGAAATCCATTTATATATCCCTATATTTTTACATATACATGTATTTATCTTTTAGTTTAGCTTATATATTAAACTTAATATAAGTACTGATGCTTATAAACCACATAAAAGAGACATTAGATTCCCCTGTCCCTCCTACTTTCTGCCTTCAAAGTTTTTTTCTTTTTTAAATAAAAAAGGATTTCTTACTTGGAGCAGGCAGCCCACCACTGGATCGTTTGTATTTGCTCTCCTTTAAAATGGATGTGATTTTGTATAAGTGACGGAAACCTGTTTTGCATTCAGAGGCAAAAATAAACTCAATTTCATCTTCCTGACTTTGGGGAAAAACATGAAAGATGTCATGGATCTGTAAAATGAATAACTTAATTTACTATATGCATTAATGAAATACTACATAAACAATTCAATTAAACTAGAGAAAGAAGAATTATGTGATAAACATGCTTTCAAATATAAATGTCAATGCTATGTGTATGGTATATTTATAGTAATAAATTTTGCCTGGGCCTTTCATATTTATTTTACCTTAGTCAAAGACTTCATCCATTGAGAAATAAATGATTCCAAATGGAGAAAAAAAGAAAAATATGACCAAAAGCTTTTTCTCATTCAACATTTCTGTAATCCTTGAAACATGACATGTTTGTTTAATGATATAAATCTTATTACAAAAACGATGATGAAAAACATTTTTTACTTTTGTTTTCCAAAGAGAAATTTTCTAACAGTTGAAGGAAAAACATATGTCCATCTGTTTTAGGTGAATCATATGAAGTCTATATTCAGTTATGAAGTGAGCTGGCTTTATTTATTTTGTATCTTGTTTAAATTTCTCTGCTAAATTGGAAAATGCAAAATTCAATTAAAAGCTGGTATATTTTGGTATAGTTTGCCAAGTCAAAAAAGAAAATCTTTTCTAGACTGGATTCTTGACACCCTCTCAGAGGTACTGATGAGGCTGTGTATTCAATACCTGGTATGCCCGGGAACAAGTCTGTAACCAAGGAGATGTCATTTCAATGGCATCTACTTTCTATCTACAAACCATTACATTCTGGAATCATCACTCCAACTAGAAATGTTCACATTAAGAAAATAACATTCATGGTTCCTTTGAACTTAAAAAAATGCACTTTGATAGTTTGCTATCAAAGTTCATTTGCTTTAGCATTCTGAGAAAACATTTAATCAAATACAGGAAAAAATGCATACATTTATCCAGATGTCTGTTGTTTCTTCATAGATAATTAGTGGTGTCACAGAGTCAGGCACTGACTCGATAAGTCTTTGCCTTTCCATGGCATCATCTTCTACTGGGATAAATAATTCAGGTGAGATCAACACTATCTGTAGGCGAGTTTGGGAGCGATCTAGTAGGATGGACCAAGCACTATACAAATAAAAGAGAAGCACCAGAAATAAAGCAAGCTCTCAGAAAATGAATGATCCCCTATTCTCTCTCATAGCACCTATCAATTATTTCTATAATCACAATGAAAGAACTGGTTTAGTATATGTTACCACTTACAAATAGCTAATTAAAAATATCCTATACTTTTTTTATTAAAAAAAAATTTTTTGGAGACAGAGTCTCGTCCTATTGCCCTGACTACAGTACAGTGGCATGATCATAGCTCACTGCAACCTCAAAGCCTTGTCCTCAAGCCAATTCTCCTGCCTCAGTCTCCTAGAGTGCTAGGATTATAGGCGAGAGCCACTGAGCCTGGCCTTCCATACGTATTTTTAGAAGTTAAACTTGAATAGAGTTTTAAAAAAGTAGTTTTCTTTAAATTTCCAAAACCATATTTGGTCTTTGAAAGTGTTTTCTCCCTTTAGTATCAACAAATGCCATTCTTGTTGAAACTTATGTTGACTATGTCAGACAACAGAAAGTATTTGCAATCATTCTCATATAAGCCTCTACAAATATTTCTGCTTAAATTATACAATTAAAAAAATACAAATCTTTTGTGAGCCTTAAAGTCATATAATTTAATCACAAATAACACTGTGAACCATTCCTAGCTTAGTAAGAAATAAAAAGCAAGGCACCTGTGCTTATGAAATTACAAGTCTACTTAGTTTAAGAAAAATCGCTTCTGTAGAAATAACTATCCTGCAATTTACCTGTGAAGGTAGTTCCAACTGTAAGGCAAACCTGATAGCATAAGATATTTCTAAAGCTCTTGATCTTAAATTAGTTGTAAAGAAGTGACGATTTAACATACGCACTATTTTCCCTCTGGAGTCCATCCAGCTCTGGCAATATATTCAACTCCTTCAAATAGAACCTCAAAAGGTTGAATTAGTTCCTTATCTATAACATCCACAATCTATTAAAACAGAAAAAAAGAAATCTAGTTATAGAAGATTTAGATAAATAATTAGCTCACTAGCCTACTTAAATCATTATCTGTAACAGCTGAATACTTTTTCACACTTAGGTTATTTAAGAAGGCACAAAGGATATAGCAAAACCAGTAGTAAGTTGTGGGTTACTTTTACTGGTGTTTTTAATGCCTAAAGAAGTTCTAACCACAAGAACTAACACAGTCTAAAAGTCTTTTCCTATGAGTTTATACTAATAGAAACCTTAATAATAACTGGCAAAAATCAAGTTTTAATCACTTTAAACTCTAGTATCTAAGAAAAACAGTCCCTAGTTCCTGTATTTTAGCCTAAAATATATTTATGCAATATATTAATGGAATAGCCCTGAGTAAGCAAACTTTTTTCCTTTAAAAATCTAACAGACACAATTTAAAAAATAAAATGTTTAAAATGTACAAAGGATCTGAATAGACAATCTTCCAAAGAAGATACACAAATGGCTAATAAATACAGGAAAAGATGCTCAACATCATTAGCCATTAGGGAAATAAAAATCAAAACCACAATGAGATAGCACATCGAACTCACTAGGATAGCTATAACAAATAAGATGGACAATAATAAGTGTTGATGACAACGTGGAAAGATTGGAGACCTCATAAGCTGCTGATAGGAATATAAAATAGCACAGCCACTTTGGAAAAACAATTTGGCAGTTCCACAAAAGGTTAAAAATAGAGTTATCGGCCGGGCGCGGTGGCTCGTGCCTGTAGTCCTAGCTCTCTGGGAGGCCGAAGCGGGCGGATTGCTCGAGGTCAGGAGTTCGAAACCAGCCTGAGCAAGAGCGAGACCCCGTCTCTACTATAAATGGAAAGAAATTAATTGGCCAACTAAAATATATATATAAAAAATTAGCCGGGCATGGTGGTGCATGCCTACTCGGGAGGCTGAAGCAGGAGGATCGCTTGAGCCCAGGAGTTTGAGGTTGCTGTGAGCTAGGGTGAACCATGGCACTCACTCTACGCTGGGCAACAAGCGAGACTCTGTCTCAAAAAAAAAAAAAAAAAAAAATAGAGTTATCATATGACCCATAATCCTAGGTAGATACTCCAGAGAAATGAAAACATAAGTCCACACAAAAGCTTGTACATACATATTCATGATAGCATTATTCATAATAGCCAAAAAGTAGAAACAACTCAAATGCCCATCAGGTGGTAAGTGGATAAATAAAATGTGGTATATCTATATAATTAAATATTTGGCAATAAAAAGAAATGAAGTACTAGGCCAGGCGAGGTGGCTCACACCTATAATCCTAGCAATCTGGGAGGCCGAGGTGGGTGGATTGCTCAAGGTAAGGAGTTCGAAACCAGCCTGAGCAAGGGCGAGACCCCGTCTCTATTATAAATAGAAAGAAATTAATTGGCCAACTAATATATATAGAAAAATTAGCCAGGCATGGTGGCGCATGCTGTAGTCCCAGCTATCGGGAGCTGAGGCAGAAGATTTGCTTAAGCCCAGGAGTTTGAGGCTGCTGTGAGCTAGGCTGACACCACAGCACTCACTCAGCCTCCGCTACAAAGTGAGAACTCTGTCTCAAAAAAAAAAAGAAAAGAAAAGAAAAAAGGAAATGAAGTACTAATACATAGTGTAACACAAATGGACTTGGAAAACATTCATCTAAGTTAAAGAGGAGACTACATATTGTATGATTCCATTTATACGAAATTCCAGAATAGGCAAATCTATAGAGACAGAAAGTAGATTGTGGTGGTACATAGGAATGGGGGTATAAGGAGATTGAAGGATGATGGTAAGGGCTATGGGTTTTTATTTTGGTGATGACAATGTTCTAAATTGATGTGGTGTGGTCATATGACTCTGTGAATATACTAAAAGCCACTGAATTTTAAACTTTAAATGAGTGAATTATATTGTATGTAAATCATGTCTCAGTAAAGCTGTTTTTAAAAAGTCTAGTGATGGGCCACGCGGTGGCTCACGCCTGTAATCCCAGCACTCTGGGAGGCCGAGGCGGGTGATTGCTGAGGTCAGGAGTTCGAAACAACCTGAGCAGAAGTGAGACCCGTCTCTATGATATGAAAGAATTAATGGCAACTAATATATTATATATATATATATATATAAAATGAGCCGGATGGTGGCACATGCTGTAGTCCAGCTACATGGGAGGCTGAGGCAGCAGGATTGCTTGAGCCCAGGAGTTTGAGGTTGCTGTGAGCTGGCTGACGCCATAGCACTCACTCTAGCCTGGGCAACAAAGCGTGACTCTGTCTCAAAAAATAAATAAATAAACAACAAACAAATATAAATTAAATTCTAGTAGAGAAGTGGTTTTTTTTTTTAGACAGAGTCTTGCTCTGTTGCCTGGGCTAGATGCCTTGGCATCAGCCTAGCTCACGCAACATCAAACTCCTGGGCTCAAGCATCCTCCTGCCTCAGCCTCCTAAGCAGCCGGGACTTAGGCATGCGCCACGCCACCATGCTTGGCTAAATATATAGCCGGCTATATATTCTATATATTTTAGTTGTCCAGCTAATTTCTTTCATTTGTAGAGATGGGGTCTTGCTCTTGCTCAGGATGGTCTTGAATTCCTAACCTTGAGTGATCCTCACTTCTGCTTCACAGAGTGCTAGGATTACAGGCATGAGCATACGCCGGGATGAAAAGATTGCTTTTTAATTAGTCTTTGTTGCATTTGGTTGTCCAAGGGAAACAGCAGTAAAATATTGTGGGATTTTAATCACCACAGACACCTACCAAACACAGAAGGTAACTAATCACCAGTCAATAACACCTTTTTCTTTTTTAAGGAAAAACTATTGGAAAGGAGTCATAATATGCACATATCCCATATTTCTATCTTGAGAACCAGCAGAAAGTGAAATTAGGTCCAACCTAAAATATGATCCATAGATACAAGTCAGAAGTTCAAAAGCCCCAAAATAAAAGCATATAAAGACCTGCTGACTTAGTCAAATGACACAGAAAGTCAACTCAACATTTTATACTTACCTTCTTCGCGTCAATCATTACTTCTGACATCTTAACGTGACTTAGGATTGCTGTGCCTTTAGACAACATAAGGGATAGTAATGCATATCCAAAATCACTGAACTAATTTTGCAGATTAATTCTCTTTTTTTTTTTTTTTAAATTTTTTGGACAGAGTCTCGCTTTGTTGCTAGCTAGAATGAGTGCCATGGCGTCAGCTAGCTCAAGCAACAAACTCCTGGGCTCAAGCAATCTTCTGCCTCAGCCTCCTAATAGCTGGGACTACAGGCATGTGCCACCATGCCCGGCTAATTTTTTCTTATATTATTTTGGCCAATTATTTCTTCTATTTATAGTAAGCGACGTCGCTCTTGCTCGCTCAGGCTGATTTCGATCCTGACTCGACAATCTGCCCCCTCGGCCTCCCAGAAGTAGATTACAGGCGTGAACCGGCGGCTATTCTCTACACACTTTATTAGCCAGCAATAGTGTACTATCATGGGCTAACTGCACTTGATTCAGAGCCATCTCAATACACTTTTAATAGGTATCAAAAATAAGAGCTGAAAAACACAGAGTCAGTATTTAAAAAAAGTGAAATTTTGTACATTTTTATATTGAAATGCTATAAACAAGCAAATGAAAGAAAATTATAATTATTATGGATAATATCACTTAAAAATCTTTTACTTACTAAAAAGACACTTATTCATTTCTTAAAGTAACTAGTTTCGTGGCATAATTCAACT